TATACAACATTAGGCTCATGGAAGAGAAGAGAACAATCCCACAATTTGAAAAAAAATTACGTCCAGCTCTCTTCCTCTCTCTTCCAAGGAGTTCTTCTATTTCTTGTGTTCCACTGATACAAGATCTAGAAAGCTGTTTGAGAAAACAGTAAAAGATCTTAAGGTATATAGAGATTCCGATCATACATCCAAACCGGAGACAAAAACCAGCAAGTGACCATACCACGACGACCAAAACGGCGAGACGAAGAGATCGCCGTCGAGATCGCCGCCGGAAGCCGCCGCATGCGCCCGCACGCGCCACCAGAAGGTAGCAGCTGCTGGGACTTGCACCAGCGCGTGAGAGAGCGTGAGAAGTCCGATTTCCGATCGGTCAACGCCGTTGACTTCGCCGTGACATCAGCTTTCTGGATTGGTCAAGTTTGTTCGATTACGAGAAGATTTGATTTGCGGTCAACTGTCCGGGCCAGCCAGATCTACATAAATTTTAAGCAGTAAGTTTTCTTTATCAAACCTTTAGATCCGCTGCGCATAGGTTTATGTTGAATGTTTGTCTGTGATTTGTGCATATCGAGATCCTCATGGGTTCCAACATGGAGTCCTCATGGTGTTCCCCTGAAAGCACCTAAATTGAAAGTTGATATAGTAAATCATGAACAGAAAAAGATCTGGGTTCCCAAGGAACGTAAGAACAGCTGTTTGTCTTCCATTCTTGCTTTGAAATCCACATCTAACTCTGATTGGTATTTTGATAGTGGATGTTCTCGTCATATTATAGGTTTGAGGTCTGCTTGACCAATATTATGCCTGTCTCTTCTAGTTCAGTAACTTTCGGTGATGGAGCAAAGAATAAGGTTCTAGGAGTAGGGTGCTTGAATGTTCCTGGTTTGCCCAGACTTAAAAATGTTCTTTTGGTTCAAAACTTGAAAGCCAATCTTCTGAGTATAAGTCAATTATGTGACCAGGGTTTGTATGTGAATTTTACTAAGACTCAGTGTCATGTATCTGATCAAGAAAATAAACATGTTCTTACTGGTACTAGGTCCAGGGATAATTGTTATCTTATGGAACTTGATTTGAAATGTAACAAAACCAGTATTGATTTGACTGAACTCTGGCAACAAAAGCTAGGTCACATTAACTATCCTCTCCTAATTGAACTCTCTTCCACAGGGGTTGTTCGAGGATTGCCCAAGCTGAAGAAGGAAGAACCACGAGTTTGCGGATCATGCCAAATGGGCAAATAGAAAAGGGCTTCGCATAAGAGGTTGACAGAGGTCAGTACAAACCGTGTAATGGAACTGATCCACATGGACTTGATGGGACCAATTCAGGTCGAAAGCTACAGTGGTAAGAAATATATTCTAGTCTGTGTGGATGATTTTTCTAGATTCTCTTGGGTTGAATTTCTTAAAGATAAGTCTGAAGCACTTGATGCTTTCAAAAAACTCGTGTTAAAACTTGAAAATGAAAAACGAACTAACCTTGTGGCAATCACGAGTGACCATGGTAAGGTATTTGAGAACCGTGGTTTTTGAGTTATTTTGTGAATCACGTGGTATATTTCACCAGTTTTCTTCTCCTATCACTCCATAATAGAATGGAGTTGTGGAACGAAAGAACATGACCCTTCAAGAAATGGCGAGAGTAATGCTAGTGTCGCAGGGTATGTCCTTAAGATGGTGGGCAGAGGCTGTAAACACGACATGTCATATAATTAACCGTGTGTACTGCAGGAAGGGAACCGGATTAACTTCATACGAAATGTGGAAAGGTAAAGCACCAAATGTGAAATATTTTCACATCTTTGGGTGCAAGTGCTATATCTACAATGACAGAGAACACCTTGGTAAGTTTGAGTCCAAGAGTTATGTAGGTCAGTTCCTTGGTTATTCTGCTAACAACCGTGCTTATCATGTGTATAATTTGCACACCGAGGTGGTTATGGAGTCTATAAATATTGTTTTTGATGATGCTCTTGAATGTGTTGTTGTACCTGATGTGATCAACATAGATGTGTCCAGTGGTAAGAAGTTGTAGAATTCTGAAACTGTGAATGTGCTAAATGATGTTAAGTCTGAAACCCTTGAATATGATAAAACTGTAGAATCTAATGAATATGTTGTTCCAACGTCCTCCAGAAAATCTGACGAATCTCGGCGAGATCCTCCTGCCAAGATTCAGAAGGATCATCCTAAGGACCAAATCATAGGAGGTTTATCTGAACGTAACACTAGAGGAGTTAAACCTGATTTTCGAAAGATGGCTGGTTTGTGTCACCTTGCATGTTATGTCTCTAAGTTGGAACCGAAAAATGCTAAAGAGGCCCTGTGTGATGATTTTTGGGTTCAGGCTATGCAAGAAGAACTTGAACAGTTTATGAGAAACGATGTGTGGGAACTTGTCCTAGACCTTCTGATTCGAACGTCATTGGAACAAAATGGATTTTCAAAAATAAGACGGATGAATCAGGAGAGATTACTAGGAACAATGCCCACCTTGTAGCTCAGGGGTACACCCAAGAGGAGGGTGTTGACTTTGATGAGACATTTGCCCATATAGCTCGTCTAGAGTCCGTTAGAATGTTCTTATCTATTGCATGCTTGCTTGGTTTTGTGATTTATCAAATGGATGTAAAGTCTGCATTTTTGAATGGCTTTTTGAAAGAGGTTGCTTATGTTAAGCAACCTGAAGGGTTTGTAGACCCTCATCACCCTGACCATGTGTACAGGTTAAAGAAGGCGTTATACGGTCTTAAACAGGCTCCACGTGCCTGGTACGAATGTCTAACCCAGTTTTTGGTCAAAATGGGGTACTCTCGAGGGGCAGTTGATAAAACTCTGTTTGTTAAAAAGTCTAATAAAGATATTATCATTATACAGATTTATGTAGATGATATTATCTTTGGTTCTACCTCGAGAACTTGGGTCAATGAATTTGTTACTCACATGTCTAAAGAATTTGAGATGAGCATGGTAAGAGAGATGTCCTACTTCTTGGGTTTGCAATTCAAGCAATCCAAGGAGGGGATATTTCTTCATCAGACCAAGTATGCCAAGAATCTTGTGAGAAATTTTGGTCTAGAAAATTCTAAGTGTCCAGCAACTCCTATGGGAAGCCACTCTAAGCTATCCAAGGATGATGCTGGAACTTCAGTTGATTCCACGCTTTATAGAAGCATGATTGGTAGCTTGCTTTATTTGACTGCCAGTAGACCTGACCTGTGTTTCAGTGTAGGGATGTGTGCTCGGTACCAAGCCATTCCTAAGGAGTCGCACTTGAAGGCGGTGAAGCACATCATCAAGTACGTGCATGGTACATCTGACTTGGGTATTCTGTACTCACGAGACACATCTTCTAGTCTTGTAGGTTATAGTGATGCAGATTGGGCTGGGAACGTCGATGATCGACGTAGTACCTCTGGTGGTTGTTTCTACATTGGCAATAATCTCATCTCCTGGCTTAGTAAGATGCAAAATTGCGTAGCACTCTCGACAGCTGAAGCCGAATACATATCTGCTGGAAGCTGCTGCTCTCAGCTCATGTGGATGAAGCAAATGATGATTGAGTTTGGTCTTAAGGTAAGAACCGTGAACCTTTTCTGTGATAATACCAGCGCAATTAACATCTCAAAAAATCCGGTTCAACACTCTAGGACTAAATACATAGATATTCGGTATCACTTTATTAGAGATTTAGTCGAGAATGATGTGATTATACTTGAGCATGTTTCTACGCAAAACCAGTTGGCTGACATATTCACTAAAGCACTGGATTCTCAAAGGTTCATTTCTCTAAGGAAATCCTTAGGGATCTGCTTATTCTGAATGCTTGTGTGATCTTGCATTATATTATTTTGTATTGTATATTAGTAATTATCTATTGCATTGCGTGTAAGCATATAGGGTATTTTGCATTAGACATATTTTGCATTTTGCATCCTCTGCACCATTGGATTCTTGATTGAAGTTCTAACTCTTCTGAAAACTTAAGAGGTGTTGATTGTCTAAGACTGACTGCGTGTTCTTACAGTACCGAGGAATGTACTTATTTTCTGTATTTTTGGTTTTTGTCACAAAGAGCTGCCTTCTCATAAATGATCTAGAGCGATAGCTAACACATGGTTCGTTTCCCAATACGGGATCGACTGTGAAAAGAGCGTCTAGGACAGAAAATGTTGAGAAAGGGCGTAAGCTAGTGACACACATTGCATATTACTATGTGGTGTTCTTACTCGGAGTAATAAGGTGGCCACCCACATAAAAACCGTAGTGCTGATTATAAAAAAAAAAAAAATGTAGGATCCTTTCTTAAAATTCTGGTGCAAATTAGTGGGGTTGACTTTAACATTTGAAGTGATTGTTACTAAGTGAAACGCACTATGAATAATAAGGCATGTATTCTTGCAAAAATTGAAGTTGGGGTTCGCACTACCTTGTGTATATACATATATCCGTTTATCGTATGTTTCTTGGGAAGTCTAAATCTCAAAGTTGGTCTCGGGCTATCTTCATCAATTTTGTCTAAGTTGAGAAGGAAAAGATTTTTTGAATCTAGTGTATTCTGTGTGCGATTTTTATACCTTACTTTTATTTCTCATTGTTTAGGCATACTTGCATATGATTTCTGTTAGAGAAATGAACCAAGTAACAAAGGGAAGAGTTTTATTATTAACTAAATGGAAACTTTGCAATATGATCAACAGGAAGAAACAAAACTAGGGAAATGACCAACAGGAATAAACTCCCTGTCCCAAGGTACTAACATAGGAATTATGATTTCTGATGCCTTCCTCATCTAAGGAGGCTTTATTTATAATTAGCTATACTATTATATATTAGGTAAGATTCTCTTCCATGATTAGTGCTATTTAGATCCATAAAATCAGCCCCTTCATTTTAAATCTGATTGGTTCCTTGGATTTGGCCTGCGACTATAAACAATCCATGATTTTTGCCCATGACATGCTCCTTTTCTATCATTGTCACCCCCTAAAGAATTGGCCTTGTCCACAAGGCTGCAGTTCGGAAACTGCCCCATAAAATCCGAAAGATCAACCCAAGTTGCTTCCTCCGCCGGCCGACCTTCCCACTGAACTAAGACCTGCTCCCTGTCGAGCTGCTTTCGAGCATCCAGTATGTCTTGTGGGGTGTAACTTGTTTCTTCTACTGCCAAGGCTTCAGGTAAATCCTTGGTGACGTCATGTTGCCCGTTAAGTTTCTTAAGCTGGGAGATGTGGAAAACTGGGTGTATACGTGCTCCATCAGGTAATTCTAACTTGTAAACCACGGGGCTCAACTTTCGAAGAATGCGATATGGGCCATAATACCTTGCAGCCAGCTTCTGATTGACTCGATTTACCATAGAGGTCTGGCGATGGGGCCGAAGTTTCAAAAGAACTTGATCTCCCTCATCAAATTCTAAGGGTCGTCTCTTCCGATTGGCAGTGTTAATCATCCGTTGTTGCGCTTTAGTGAGGTTAAAGTGCAGCTGCTTGATCAATTCTGCCCTATCATTATGCTCCTCCGCAACGGCTGCAACCTTGAATTCCCCCGGCATAAACTGATGCAAAGTGGGTGGTGGCCTGCCATACACATATTCAAACGGAGTTCGGCCTGCCGCCGAATGAAAGCTGCTATTAAACCAATATTCAGCCCAATGCAACCAACGACCCCATTGCTTGGGTTGTTCTGAAGTGAAACATCTCAGGTATTGCTCCACGCAACGATTTGTTACTTCAGACTGTCCGTCAGTTTGCGGGTGGTAGGCTGTGCTCATGCGAAGTTTGGTTCCCATTTTAGTAAAAAATTCAGTCCAGAAATTGCTCAAGAAAATTGGGTCTCGATCACTGACGATGGATCGTGGGACTCCGTGTAGACGCACAATTTCTTTAGCAAATAATTCGGCTAAGGTTCGTGCAGTGAAAGGATGTCGAAGACCAATGAAATGTGCATATTTGCTAAGTCGATCGACTACTACCCAAATGCAATCAAACCCATTAGATCGCGGTAAACCTGTGATGAAGTCCATCGATATATATTCCCAGATGTTATTAGGAATAGGGAGCGGGTTGAGCAATCCAGCTGGTGATAACGTTTCATACTTATTCCTTTGGCAAATTAAGCAGTCAGCAACATATTTTTGTACCTGTTTCATCATGCCTCGCCAATAAATGCTAGCTGCCAATCGCCGATATGTACGGTACGCACCTGAGTGGCCTCCTGTTGGGGTGGAATGAAACTCGTCCAAGAGTTGTTGCACCCATGGTGAAGTAGCAGGAATGACAATTCGGCCTTTGTAAAATAATCTTCCATGAACGAGCTGATATGGTGGCTGGCTATTTGGATTCAGTCGAAGTTTCTCGATGATTGCCCGTAACTCCACATCCTCGAGGACGGCTGAATCAAGTTTGTCCCAGTCAATCCATGTGGGAACAGAAATGGCTGCCAAATCCTTGTCCTCAAATTGCCTGGATAAACCATCCGCTGCTTGATTTGTTACACCCGGTTTGTAGGTGATCTCAAAATCGTAACCCATGAGTTTTGCCAACCAATTTTGCTGAGAAGGAGTTGTGATCCGTTGTTGCAAAATGTACTTTAGGCTCCGATGGTCGGTGCGAATTTCAAATCTTCTACCGAGTAAATAAGGCCGCCAATGCTGAATTGCCAAAACCAATGCCATTAACTCTTTTTCATATGCCGATTTGGCCAACACTCTTCCCGAGAGTGCTTTACTATAATATGCAATCGTCCGCTGCTCTTGCATCAAGACTGCGCGCACGCCTTCGCCTGAAGCATCACATTCGATCACAAAACTTTTATTGAAGTCAGGCATTACTAGCACTGGAGAAGAGGTGATGGCGATTTTAAATCTTTCGAAAGCGTCCTGTGCTGGCTCTGTCCAAGTGAAGTCCCCGACCTCTTTTTTAAGTAATTCTGTGAGAGGTCTTGCGATTTGGCCGTAATTTTTAATAAACCGCCTATAATATCCCGTGAGGCCTAGAAATCCTCGTACGCCTTTAACTGACTTAGGTTGTGGCCACCTAATAACACTGGATATTTTACTTGGATCCATGGACACTCCAGATCTTGAGACAACATGTCCCAAATACTCCACTGATGTCCTCCCAAAATGGCACTTCTTTTTATTAGCCTTTAGTTGATTATCGAGTAAAACACTGAAGACAATCTGAAGGTGTTGTATATGCGCCTCCCATGTTTTACTGTAAACAAGGATATCGTCAAAGAAAACAAGCACAAATTTCCTCAAATACGGACGGAAAACATCGTTCATGAGGCCTTGAAACGTGGCTGGGGCATTTGTCAATCCAAATGGCATGACCAAGAATTCATAGTGGCCGGAATGTGTTTGAAATGCTGTCTTGGCTATGTCTGAGGGATGGACCCGAATTTGATGATACCCTGCTTTGAGGTCCACCTTGGAGAAAAAAACGGCTCCATGGAGTTCATCAAGCATATCATTAATCATGGGAATTGGGTACTTATCAGGAACAGTAGCCTTGTTTAGTTCGCGATAGTCGACGCAAAATCGCCAACTTCCGTCTTTCTTTTTGAAAAGTAAAACTGGGCTGGAAAACGGGCTGGAGCTTGGTTGGATTATCCCAGCGAATAGCATTTCATTCACCAGGCGTTCAATTTCATCCTTTTGATGATGGCTATATCGGTAGGGCTTCACATTTACTGGTGCGGTTCCCGATTTTAGGGTGATGCGATGATCATGTCTCCTTTCAGGGGGAAGTCCTTGGGGTTCATCAAAAATTGTGCCGTATTGCTCCAATATTAGTTCCAATTCCTGGACCTGAGCGCTTGAGGAATTGAGGGCCGAAGTCTCTGTTGAAAAATGCGTTTTTGTTGATGATGTAATCTGCCAGAGCAAGAGGCAGTAATCGATGTCATCGTCCATCTGTTGCAATGAGCTCAAAGAGATAGGGGCACGTGACAATGATGGGTCCCCTAACAGACAAATCTCTTCATTATCCCGCAAAAATTTAATACTCATTTTTGTCCAGTTCGCTTTGATATCGCCTAATGTTTGGAGCCATGCCACGCCGAGAATGATGTCAATACCTCCAAGAGGAAATATATAGCAATCTAATGACATCGTGATTGATTGAAGTTGAATTGGTAAATTGCTATACTTCCCTGTTGAAGTTGCTCGACTGCCATCTCCTAAGCGAACCCCAAAGCGGACTGTCTGCTCTATTGGTTGGGGAATTTTCTGAGCAAGTTTGGATGAGATGAAGTTGTGGCTTGCCCCACTATCTACCATAATAGTCACTGGTTCACCGTACACATGACCTGAAAATTTCATTGTCCGTGGTCCATCTATTCCACCTATCGCCGTCAAAGGTAGATCTAGAAAATGGAGCTGAGCTTCACTGGTTTCTGCTTGATGTTGTGGGGATTCTTCTAGTCCGAAGTCGGAGATGATATCAGTGATCTCGTCTTCTGCTGCGATGAGAGCGCGTAATGATTTTTGAGGGCAATCATGCATCGGGCTGTAAGGTTGTTTGCAGCGAAAACACAACCCCTTCGCACGCATGTCCAAATATTCTTGATGGGAGTATTGGCGTGCCACTCTACTTTTCTGTGTTGTGTTGTGTCGCGATAGTTGTGAAGAGGAGGAACCTGTGCCGCCTGGAAGTAGTTTGAAGTGATCATTGGGCTTGTATTGGGCTGCAGAATTCTTATTTTGGCCGGTTGTTAAGGTGCTGTTTAGTTTTGGTGGTTCAAAACGAGAAGGATTAATGGGCCTCGGTTGGAAGCCTAAACCATACCCAGTAGTAAATCTTCCAGATTTGGAATTTAAGAAATCCAATTCTCGTTCAACAGACCGAGCAACTTTCATGGCCGTTCGTAGATCGAGCACATCATATGGGCGCAAGCGGACCCTTATTTCTTCCTTGAGTCCATTTAAGAAAAACCCTAGCTGAAGTTGTGAATCCAGGCCTGGGACTTGGGCTGCTCTCGCTCGAAATTCATTGGCGTAATCATCCAGAGATCCTGTTTGGTGTAAGGCAGCCAAGCGTTCGCTGGGACTTGCTGCTAAGTCCCCGCCGAATTGGTCAACGAGTTCTTCCTTCAATTGATCTCAGGTAATCATTGGAGATTGTTGCTGGAGCCATCGAAGCCAATGGAGTGCTGCTCCTTCCATGCAGATGAATGCGGAGGCAACTTTGAAGTTTTCCTTCGTGTGGTGTACAAGAAAAAATTGCTCAGCACGCGCAATCCATCCAATAGGATCGGTTCCATCAAAACACGGAAGATCAATGTGCTTCGATGTGGATTTTAACTCGTCGAAAACATTGGCATGAAGTGCAGATTTGTGGTGGTTGGATGTATTGCTCTCTGAAATGTTGTTCTCTGAAAAGTTGTTGCTGCTACTGTTATTATTCAATAGATCGGTGATCTTGGCTATTGCCGTTTCAAGTGTATTAAATCGGCTGTCCATGTTGTTCCGCATGGTGGTGAGTTCCTCGCTTACAGCAACTTGGCTCTTCTCCAACGATTCAACACGGGACTCCATTCGTGTCATACCTCGCACGGCAGGTCGGACCAATTTGTTAGAGAAATGAACCAAGTAACAAAGGGAAGAGTTTTATTATTAACTAAATGGAAACTTTGCAATATGATCAACAGGAAGAAACAAAACTAGGGAAAAGACCAACAGGAATAAACTCCCTGTCCCAAGGTACTAACATAGGAATTATGATTTCTGATGCCTTCCTCATCTAAGGAGGCTTTATTTATAATTAGCTATACTATTATATATTAGGTAAGATTCTCTTCCATGATTAGTGCTATTTAGATCCATAAAATCAGCCCCTTCATTTTAAATCTGATTGGTTCCTTGGATTTGGCCTGCGACTATAAACAATCCATGATTTTTGCCCATGACATGCTCCTTTTCTATCAATTTCCTTCTTGAACATGATCTATTTGATTCTAAAATTTTGTGATGAATATATGCTCAAAGATAAAATTTGATTTCTTTCCTAAATTTCGAAATAGTGTGAGAGGTTGTATTGTGTTTGAATTTTGATTTTTGGAGGGATAAGTTGCCCGTTAATATCTCCTAAAACCGCTCAAACTGTCCTATCTCTCTCCCTTGAACCACGGGAACTGCCTTTTTGAAGTTTTCAATGTCAGAACATTATTAACTCACGTCTCTCTTCACTTTTTCATTATCACTTAAATTCCTTTCTTCTCTCTCTCTTTTTCATCCGATTTTCCCACCTTCTTCAACCTTCTGAAACCCTAATTTTCATTCTCAATCATCTTCCTCTCCCACAGCTGGATGTAAGGACAAGTCGAAAAAGAGGCTCAAAAAACACAAAGAAAAGCGGTTGAAGCGTCACCGTCTCTCTCTCAGTACTAGCTCTGTCCGTGAGCCTTCTCCTCTGCCGGCAAATTCTCCATCTCACGAGTCGCCGCCGACCGAAAAGTCTGTTTCCTTGTCTGCAACCACATCTAGTTCTCCGTCCAAATTCGACAACATCGAGAAGAATATTGAGATCTCTCCACTTGCCACAGGTGTACCTGGTCTGTTAAGGTTCGATGACGTCCTAGAGGTTCAGACTCAGGGAGAGTCGTCGGCTGTTCCAACTTCTGCAAGCAAGTCTGCAACCAAGACTGCGTCCAAGTCCACTACCAAAACAACCGAAGAAGAAAAGGAGGACACTGCAGCAACTCTCGTAGAAGTCCATTCTGATCAGCCAACGCCTCCATCAAAGATTCCAGTACGCCGTTCCACTCGATGCCGTGGCAAAGAATCCATCGATGCGCCACTTGTTCCACCTGAACCTGAAGACAATGCTTATGACCTTGAGAACAACTTCACCAATCGGTTCTATACAGAGGCGGCTCATGAGCGCTTTGTTAGTTTTGGATCTTATGGGTTCTGGTCCGAACGTGCTGTGGAAGCTGGTCAATTTTCTAATCTTGGCATTCTTTATCTGATAGAGTCTGTCGGTTTGTCTATAACCGTGTCTGATCTTCAGCCTTTCTGTGGGAAAGTTGTCAAAGAATTCTATGCTAATCTCACCCCTGCAGTGTTTGATTCTAATAGCCCTCGTTTTCACAAGCTTTTTCTTCGAAACCGTGTGACTGATGTGTCTCCTGCCTTGTTTAATGTTCATCTTGGTTTGCCCTCTGATCTTGATAACTCTTCCCTCACTGAGGTTGATTTAGATGCTATGACCAAAAGTTCTTACTTCTGGTCAGTTAGATACATGGCCTGGTTCTAATTTGCCTGTGAGTTCACTCTACTTGGTTGCTAATCTGTTGCATAAAATTGGTGCTGGCAACTGGACTCCTACTTTGAACAAGACTTTGCTCACGGAGTCTCATAGTAAAGTCATTTATTGGGTCATGATTGGGAAGGTTTTCAGCTTTGGGGATCTTGTTTTTGAAATTCTTCACACCTTTGTCGCTAATATTGAGTCTCGCAAAACCCTTCCTTTTCCTTGGCTTATTTGGTCCTTCTTGGCTGCCCATAATTTTTCTGTTAATCCTCGCTATTAAGACTCTCTCGAGAACCCAAGAAAAGCATTCACTGTGAGTGCTCGCACTCTCAATGAAAAAGGGACAACCAAGGTCACAAGGGAACTGGCTCCCTCCTTGGTCCCTAAAAATTGGGATGAGTTCGTGGCACAACAACTTGGAGAGTGGGATGATTTGGCAAAGAAAGTAGCTGCTCAGCAGGCCTACCTTCGACAAGTGCTGCAAGCAGTCAAGGGGACGAAGCGCAAAAACTCGGGGACAGGCCCTTCGGTATCCCGTAGTTCGAAAAAGGGGGAGAAGGGTTCAGCTGTCGGTGCTAGCAAAGGTGATGATGAAGACTCTGATTCAGGGAGAGATAACACTGATGAGGCCATTGCGAAGTATTATGATGATGATGAGTAGTAGGCTGTTTTCTGATGAGGGTGTTGGGTTCTGTTAGGAACGTCAAACAACATGCACAGTATTGAACTTTATC